CTCCTTCCCTTCACTTCTAAAAATAAATAAATAAAAAATTTAAAAAATTTACTAGATGTGCTTAAGAGCAACTGAAAGGCTACAGAAGAGAAGGTCAGTGAGCTTGAAGACAGATAAATAAAAATGATCCCAACAACAAAAACAAAATGGAAAAAATGTTAAAGAATAAAGAGTGATTCAATGACTTATAAGATAACATCAAGTGGTCTAACACACATGTGGTTCAAGTCTCAAATGAAGAGGTGAAAGAGAATACAGTAGGAAAATACTGGAAGAAATAATGGCCAAATATTTTCTATACTTTGTAAAAACAAAAAACAACCTACAGAGCAAAGAAGCTTAGCAAATCACAAATAGAATAAATACATAGAAAACCACATGTCAGCACACTATAGTCATAGTACCTGAGAATTAAAGAAAAAATCTGCAAGTCACCTAGAAAAAAATTTTAAATGATATTACAGAGGAACAACTACAAGGGTGTTATCTAACTTCTCATCAGAAAAAATGGAGGGTAGAAGACAATGGAAACACATCTTTAAAGTGATTAGTGCGGGGGGAGGCGGGGGCCAACCTTGAATTATATATACAGCTAAAATATACTCCAAAGTAAAAGTGAAAAAAATATAGTCAAGTATAGGAAAACTGAGAGAAATCATCAAGAAACCACTACTGAACTGCTAGAAGGAATTCTTCAGGCTGGATAGAAAGCAGAATACCCAACGGTAAAATTCCTTAGCAATAATTACAAAGTAACAAGTGGAAAATCACAAGAACAGACAATATGCCTAAGTTTTCCTAGCATTCACAATATGAAGAAGTGATTTTGTAAACTGTTTTGTAAAAGAGGAGGGGGAGTACCAGATGCCCTCAATAGCTGATGCCTGGGTAAGTATGTGTGAGCTGGAGTTTCAGCCTCATCAGTCCTAGTGGGAACCTTTGTGCAAGAAACTGCACAAACATCTACTGATCCAACTGGTTACAGAGGTAATTAGGAAATGCTTCCAGGATCCTGAGCTATTCATTAAAAAACTTTATGAACATGGACTGTCCTCACATCCACAGAAAAGAAAATAGCTCCTGCATTAATTTTTAAGAAGAGCTTCAAAGGAACTCAAGCCTGGTATATTTTTGAAGGTTGCATATCCAGCCTAATTAAACTTTGCTTTGTTTTTCTATTTCAATCATATAAGAATATTTTTATAGCTCATCTTTAAATTTCATCTTTTTAGGAGAAATTGTAGAAGCAGGTGTTCCATTAAAAGAGAAAATATAAAAGTTTGTATTTGTCAATTCATTTTGAATATTAAGTAACCCAAAGGATATTTTACTAAGGAATGATCTTTATCCTCCAGATGGGGAGAGAGAAACCGAGTCAGGAGGCCTCCCCTCTCCACCTCGGTTCTTGTCTCTCAGTAAGAGATGAATTGAAGCGAGAGACAAATATGTGTGGTGGAAATAAGACAGCAAGTTTTTTTTTGTGAAATACATACAAGCATAAAGCTGCAAGCAGGCACTGGACTATTCTAATGCCCCACATATAGAGGAAAGAAAATTGTTAGTAAGTTTGTTCTATACACTTGAGCCAAGGCTACAAGTGGGTAGTTGGCTAATCTAAGTGTGCTGACTATGGGGGTTCAGGGGTTATATACCTCAGTTGGCTTCTAGAGATACCCCTCCTTATTCCCTTCTAAATCTTGGGGATAATATACAGAGCTTCAGAGGTTTTCTTACTCAGCAAAAGTTCTTTGTCTTAGAGAAATTGTTGCAGTGGCCCCCTTGCCCAGTACAGAATCTCAAGGACTTCTCTGATTCCTCCTGCTCATAATGTTTAAGACACCGGGCAACCTTAGTGAGATGGTCACAGAGGGCCTCCCTGCTTCTCAGCACAGGCTCAAGGACTCCCCTCCTCCTGTGCTGTTTTGCTTGCAATGCTCAGAACACTGGCAATCAGCAACCTTCCAGCAGTCTTATCAAACTGAGCTCAGGACTCCCTGTTAACCCGTGGGCCGTGTCTTCCTTTTGCTTCCAGCCTCCTCTTTGTTACATTGTGAAGGTGAGGGCCCTGCCTTCATTTCCCCTGCGTCTGCTCTTTCCTAGCTGCCGCCTAACAATTAAAGGAGTCTTCCCACCCCCCTTTCCCACTGAGCCCACTCATGTATGCATGCACACACATCCCACTGTGCTAATACAAAAATTAATTTAAAATCTGGCATCATGATTATCTTTTAATGAGATAAGTCATCAATTACCAAACTAGGAGTTTACCACTCCTGCCAAGTTAAATTACCATTAGTTTTTTTAAGGGATGTAGAAATTTTAATTTTAAAACTATGGAAAAATTATATTGCTTATATCTTAAAAAAATAAACAAAAATTTTTAATGATTTTCCAATTATGCCCTCAAAACTCATGTTAGTTAATTACTCATGTATATGTAGTGTTATGTTTTGAAAACACACAATGATTTAAAAAACTTTACAATTCACATCCTCTTACCTAGAAATAAGTAACACTAACATTTTCTTTTTCTTCTTGTCTATCTTCTCTGCATGAATAGGCACACCGAGACAGTAACATGAAAAACTACTTTTAATATCCCTGTCTGGCTGGCTGGATCAATTGGTTGGAGCATTGTCCTGAAATGCCAAGGTTGCAGGTTTGATCCATGGTCAGAGCACATACAAGAATCAACTAATGCACGTGTAAATGAGTAGAACAATAAATAGATCTCTCTTTCTCTCTCTCCCCCCACACCCTTCCTTGCTCTAAAAAAAAAAAAAAACCTGAAAAATGATTTCTAAAACATTTTAGATTACACCAAATTAAATATGCTTGAGTCTTTCTTTTATCTAACCTATTATCAAAGCTCTTTCAAACGCATGATTTTAGATTAATTGTCATAATTGTTTATCGTCATTGTGGTAGCCAGCCTCCACGGGAGCTCCCAATGATTACCGCCTCCTGGTATTTATGACCCTGTGCAGTATCCTGCCACACTGAATAGAGCTGAGCTGTGCAACCAGTAATATACTTAACAAACAATAGCGTGCGGCTTCCAAGGCTGTCATAAAAGCTGTTATAGCTTGTACGTTGCTCTTTTTTGGGTTACTCACTATAGAAGAAGCCAACAGACGTGTCATTAGGACTCGCATCCCTCTGGAGAGGTCCACATAGTAAAGAATTGAGACCTCCCGCCAGCAACCAGCACTAACTTGCCGGTATTCGCATGTGTCACCATGGAAGTAGGTCGTCCCACTTGGGTTATTAGACGACTGCAAACCTGGACGACACCTTGAGTGGCACCTCACGACTCTGAGACAGAACCACCAAACTGGCCTGCTCCTGGGCTCCTGACCAACAGAAATTGTGTGAGTCAATAAATGTTTATTACTTTAAATATTTAAATTTTGAAGTAACTTACTGCACATAGATAAATAATGATTTTGATGCCAGAGATGGAGTACCACCATAAAAATAGACCTAAAATGTGGGAGTGGCTTACAACAGCATGAAGGCTTGGAGAAGTGTTAAGTGTAAAGTGCATTAAAGAAACTGTTAGCAGAAGCCTGTTGACCTTCAGTGCTGCTTCTGTTGATGAGGGCTTGGGGGAAAGTCAGGAAAACATTATTGGAAACTAGAAGATGAGAGGTTCTTTTTAAATAAGACAAAAAAATTCAGCAACACTGTCACATGGCAAAGAAAGAAAGAAAATGTATCTCATTAACTAAGTGATTTAGCTAAGGAGATTTCCAGGCAGAATGTTGTAAGTGCACTAGTTTTCCTCTGGCTACTTATGGCAATGTGTGAAGAGAGATAAGCTGAAGGAAGAACTGCTAAACAAAAAGTAGTGAAGACTTTCTGCTTTTGAAATTTTCCAGATGACAGAAAATGCTAAAATTGTAAAATGGCTCCCAGGCAAAAAATAAATAAACAAAATCCAAAGCTCTTCCAAGAAAACCTGGCCTAAGGATGAAGTTGAGGCTGTGACTATAAAATCCTATTTTAATGATTTTTTTAAAATCTAAGGGCGTACTTACTTCAGAGAACTCTAGGGCTCCTAAGCAACTTAAGGGCATTGTCCCTCTGCAATTTTGACAAAAGTGGAAAGTGGGTTATCTTGAAGAGAAGAAATAGTGTAGCTTTTGTCTAATGGAATGACTCCTACCTACAATCCTTTTGAGACCTATAAAGTAGTGTGTAGGTCCCAAAATGATTGTAACACCACCAGGTTGGACTGAGTGGACGAGAAACATACAAAATAAAAGGAGACCTTTAGACTCCCTAACTTTGATATGCAGGAGGCAGGCTGAGACTGCCTCTCAGCTGCACAATGTGGGTTTACCTTTAAGGAACAGGAAGGAAGAGTAAGTGGCCAGAAATGGGAAGTAGGAGAGAACAGCCGAGAGCCATGCAGAATCGTTCCCAGAGAAGAGAGTAGGCCTGAATGCTAACTGAGGAACTTGCCACATTTGCTGAGCTGGATTGCAGAATTTGAAGCAATGACATCTGTGTGCCTCCTGTTCATCCCGTCTTGAACAGAAGTATCCACCATAGTTATCCTATGCATGTCCCAGCAGTATACGTCAGATGTCAGGTCTTCTGACTGGGAAGAACTACACTTGCACTGTACTTGAAACTAAATTCTGAAGAAACCCAAAGAGCTGCATCTGCCCCAGGATCTCATTTAGAGGGTGAGATTCCATATTTGGAACTGGTGTTGTAATAAGTTGAAACTTTCTCAGGCCTTGTGACAGGATGAGTGTATTTTGTATATGTGAGGCATATGAATCGTTAGGGGTCGGAGCACAGGCTGTAGTAACTGGCCTCCCTAATGACTCCCAGTAATTCTTGCCCTCTGGTATCCATGTCCCTAATTAGCCCCCTACCACAATAAATAGGAATTATCTGTGCAATGCACAGGATATTGTGCAAAACAGAGTGCAACTTCATGAAAGACATTGCAGTTTCTACTTGTTTTCTCCAGGGTCACTCACTATGGGACAATCCAGCTGCTATGTCATGAGAGGACACTGCAGTCTTGCAGTGAGGTCCATGTGGTAAGGAACTGAGAACTCCTGCCAGCAACCAGCTCTATCTTCCCAAGTGTGTGTGTGAGCTACCTCGGAAGCAGAACCCCCAGCCCCTGTCAAGCCTTCAGATGGCTAGAGGCCTGGCCAACATCTTGCCCTACAGCTCATGATGTATCCTGAGGCTGAGCCATCTCTCCAGGCTGCTCCTGAGTTCCTGACCACATAAATTGTGAGAGATGATACGTGTTTATTGTTTTAAACCACTAAGTTTTGGGGTAATTTGTTATATATTACTAGATAAATAACACAGCTTTATTTTGTCATATGGATATGCTGCAACGGACTTAACCATTCTTCATGGTAGAACATTTAGATTGCTTCTAATTTTTATTATTATAAATATTACTGCTGTGAATAAACTGTTCAAGTAATAAATTATTATTTATTAACCTATTAGTATATCTGTAGACTAAATTCTTAGACAGAAAATTACTAGATATGAGCAATGTATATTTCTAACTGCATTATAAAGGATGGGGCAAGAGCAGGCTTACAGCCGTGAGTACACAAAACACAGAGTTTATTCTCATACCATTATTTATATAGTATTGTGTTATTTTCCTATGAACACATGAACCGATTTCTGTTCCACCCTGTAAAGAGTATGCATTTTACTGCAGGTTCAGCCATGATTTTAAAAATCATAAGACAGGAATACCGACTATCACTCCTTTTATTTAGCACTGTACTGGAATAATCAAACTTAGAAAAGAAAATTAAAAGTATAAAAGTTAGAGAGGAACAATTTAAATCTCCACTTTCGGGAAACATAAGAGAAACTATGAAAAAACCTATTATAAATGATAAGAGAATTAGGTCAGTTGACAAGAGACCGAAAAACTGTATCTCTACCCGAAATGCATTCAGGAGGCTTTGAGCAGAGGTCTGACCAGGTGTGTTTACAGGCAATGGCAGGAGACAACAGAAGGGCTTCTTGATCATATCCTGCTGAATTTCATCACAAGTCCCACAAATAAAAACATGTTAGTCGTATAACACTTGAAGAGTACATGTATCACTCTCAAATGTTTGCATAGACATTTATAATCCCTAACCATTGTGAGGGGAATTATTGCTGGTTTTGAAACTACAGTTAGCAGGGGGGAAATAAGAGAGTACACAGTGATTGCAGCCGTCTGTCAACCTCAACTACTCATTTCTTCCCCCAGTCCCTGCAGCTTCTCACACTCTTTCAGATAATCCTCTCTGACACTAATAAGCCAGGTCTTCAACTGCTTAGCATTTTGCTTCCTGGGCCTCTGCTGAGTCAGTCAGTCTCCCATCCTAGCAAGTTCTCACATGTGAGATTTCTGCTAAGTTAGCTGGTTTATTCCAAAGGGTATGTTCAAGCCCAGAAGCCTAACTAGGTTTCTCCCTGAAGCTTAAATTTACAGGATCGTGTGTTGGAAACGCTCAACTACCCATGGTCACAGGTCTCAGGAATATGGGGAGCTTGATGCTGAACCACATTCTGCCTATGCAATCACCCTCCTTTACCCGATCAACTAGCTAAGTTTAGCTAGTGATAAACTTAACCAAGATGTGTTGTCTTTGCTCACTCTACTGCACATCCCCTAAAGAAGACATTGATGATAAGGAAAATGGATAAAAATGAGGGAGGAAGGAAGGAAGGAAGGAAGGAAGGAAGGAAGGAAGGAAGGAAGGAAGGAAGGAAGGAAGGAAGGAAGGAAGGAAGGAAGGAAGGAGATGGAACAGGTCCAACAAGTGAACCTCAAGGCTCTGAATCATCAAGGATGTCTGTCATCTCCCTGGGTACTGTAGGTTTCACCTCTATGTTCAGCATCCTTGTGGGGATGGTTTATACACAGTTGAACAGTAGGAAGGTATTGGGGTGTTCCTGCTGTTCCTTCTTGCAGCCTTCCCAGACATCAGAGAGCCAAGTGTACTGACCACCAAGAAGACCCTCCAGATCCCTCCCCCTCCCCACGGGGTGAGAAAGGGGGCACTTTGTAGAGGGGGAGGGTTATTTAAATGGCTTTTCCAGCACACAGAGGACAGGAAGTGATTCTCCACAGACAAAGGTAACAAGCTGCTGGAAGCCAAAGGCAGACTGTAATTTGTGTGCTGTGTCAGAAGTGAACTGCAGAGATCATATCCTCCAGTTTTAGCAAGCAAAGGTGAGGCTTGTGTGACTCATTCTGGCTTGGCCTCCATGCTGAAATGTACACCACATTTACTCACAGAAATCCTGCCAATTTAGCCTATCTAGAACAGAGCAACTGAGTTTTAAATGGTTAGAAAGAGAGAAAATATGAGATAGTCATCCTCAGCATGCACCCATCTATGAAGCTATTAAAATATCACATCCTGGAATCTCCAGAGTGTGAATTTTTCATCACGGTTTCACAACACCATACAATCTCTTTATTTATCCCATGGGATATAGGGAATTCACAAAACAGATTTACAATTAATTTTATTTCAAATGAATACATAGTGTATTACATTTGCTAAGTCAGAGAGATGAGATTCAAAATAAAATAAAATAAAAATAAAGTGTTGAAAATCATGGCCCTATAGATAAGTCTGGCATATTCAATGGCTGTAGAGCAAAAGAATGCATAGACACCCTCTGATGCCCTTTTTGAAAGTCAGGGATGTTGTAATTCTTTGGGGTTTAACCTTGATTCATATTAAATTTCAACAGCACATGTCTCTGATTCAGTCAGGTTTGCGACACAATAGTAAGAAGCTAGGAAAATTCCTGAGCAAGTGAAATAGGGAATCAGACAAGAAAATTAAACAGGCCAAACAGTCTGAGCAACTTACAGCCAGCTGGTGAATCGTGAGACCTTATCTCCCCTAATCAAGGACACTGGAGAGGAAATGGTTTACACCTCTTCCTCCCTAACCTGAGAATATGTAGCTTAAATCTCCCTGGTCTGGGAAAAGAGAGAACAGAGACACAATTAGTGCCATTTATGCCAGCTAAACCCAAGGACAAATGAAGTTGGGGAAACAAAAACCCCCATTAAAAGCCAGACAGACCCAAGATAAGACTCAGGGCTGACTCACTCTAGAGCTCACCCATGCCCCTTCCTCCTAAACTTTTTATTTCTCTCTAAACTCTAAGGGTCTGCAGGAGACTTGCAGCCAGGGGAGCAGTGGGCAGCAGCATCTCCACCCATGTTTCCCCCCTGATCCTGTCTCCAAGGCCCCCTTTTCTCTGACTTTTCAGGTGAGCTAAAAGCAGCCCTGCCTTGGCTCACTCTTTTCCTACAACTTTTCTAGGGAGGCGTAGCAGAGCACGGCCTAGATTCTCTCCTGTTACTTCTTCTGCCCTGACTGCTTCCTTTGTTTCACTGTCCATGGCTTACTAAAAATACTCTCAAGATCACCTGGGCTTGTGTTATGAAAGCTTCCCCCTGCAAAGTCAAGAACTCACTAGGGACTGTCCTGAGGCCAACCCGCTCGAGGCTGGTTCCTGTCCAGTAAGAGGTTCAACCTCTCCCAGTGCTTCCTGCAGAGCTACACGTGATACTGGTGATACAGAGGACTAACACGAATCTGCTCCAAGAAGAATCTAGAAGATGGCATTTTTGCTGTTTTGCTAGCAAAAGAAAGAGTGCACCGAATCAATTAAGCAAACATTATGAAGAGCTGATGAAGGTTCTGGGCAAGGCCCTGATAACTCCCCAAAGAATGCCAAGCAGCAAATGACTTTTTAAAGCCATACTATGTACTGACTTTGTAATACATAATGTATTTCTGGGCACAGCAGATTTACTTCTCTAATTATGTTTTTCTTATGCTAATATTAAAATTAGCCTGAATTCCCTGGTCACTTTCAGAGGAAGGAGTGGCTTTAGAAGCATACTGGACAACAAAATTAAAAAAAAAAAAACAATGAAAGATACCCAAGGCAAGAAAACATGACTTCTTTGTCCCACCCTCCACTTACCCCCTACAAGTCTTTTTTTCAATTTCTTCTTCTTTTATTTGGGTATTTTTTGTTTTGAGAAATTGTATGTGACTCCTTAGGAATATAGAAATCTTCAGTAATCTTTATGAAATCCTGGGAGAAGAGAGAAAACACTTTCAATTTATTGAGCCCCTACAAAGGGCCAGATATCAGACCAAGTATGTTATAAGAGATTCCTTTTCACCCTTCCTGGGGCCTGTAAAGTCGGCATTGCTATCTTCAGTTTAGAGATGAAGAAACTGAAGCACAAAATTAATAAAAGATTAAACCAGAATTTAAGCATCAGTCCACCAACTTTAAGACCTATTTCTTTCCACTACCCAATATACTCTAACCTTTAATATCCCAATTACCAACAGCCCAGTAAAGAAATGGGCAAAGGAGGGAAGCAACAATTCACAGAAAAGGCTCTTAGGCATACTTCTAGATCTTCCATTATACTCACAATAAGGGAAAAGCACATTAAAACCTCACCTCCAAAAATAGCAAGGCTATAGAACATTTGGTATCACTTGTCAGTGAGGCGTGGGAAACAGGCTTGCTCATCCATTGCTGGCAAGAGTAAGGGCACTTTGACAATTCCCACCAAAATTACTCTTCTATGATTTTACCCTTCAGGAATACTCGCATTTGTGAGAAAAGATATACACATAAGACATTGTCTATAATAGCAAAGGACTGAAACAACCTGACTTGCACTAATTGGAGACTTTATCAATCATGGTCACCTATACAAAGAATTATATACAACCATTAAAAAAATGAAGGTCCCCATTGATATAATTTGCAAAGAGAAAACAGGAAGACCCAGAACAGCCAGTGCTATGTGCTTCAGTTTGTGTGAAGGGGAAAGTATATATAAATCTTTGTATTTAACTAAACTAGTAAGAATTCAGTAACACTTGTTTTCACCAAGCTGGGGTCGGGGCACCAGGGGGAGGATGGTAGACTTATCTCTGTACACCCTTTGTGCTATAAAAATTTTGAAACATGTAAATGCATAATCTATTTTTTAAAAGTAAAACTTAAAAATTAAAAGCATACCAATTAATTGCCTTTAAGAACACCATGTTTAACTACTAAACAACAAAAGGAGGGCAAAGATACTTCCCTGGCCTACCCTGAAGGTTGTGCAAACTGGTACAAAATCACCCCCAGCCAGTTTTCTGGGGCCATTCATGTCCTTGGAACTACTTCTTCTTAAATTGTTGGCAAGGCTATGAGTTGAGTGCTTCACTTTTGCTCCTTCTCCATAAAATGATAATATTATAACAATGATGAGAATATTTATGGAAGGGCTGCTCTTTGCAAAACTCTGAGCTTAGCGTTGCATTTATATTGTCTTATTTAATCTTCATGATCACCTTATGCAATGGAAATATCAGCCCCACTTCAAAGTAAGAAAATGGAGACTTTACCAAGTAGTATTTCCTATTTGCTTTGATTTCCAGACAGTATGAAGCAACCGTTTTCTAATGTGTACAGCTTTGAGAGAACAGAGACTTTTTTTTTTTTAAAAAAAAGGCCTTTAAAATTCCACCATACAAAAAAAAAACACAAAGATGCTGGCACAAAATTTGTTCCACAGAGAATATTCTAAAGGACTCTTGTGACATTCAACAGCAACTCAGTAAAAATAGTCTGTGGATTATATAAGAGATGCTAATGGTTTAAAGGAAGAAAGAATCCCGTAAAACTACTGCAGCCAGAGACTCCTCTCCCATTCCCACCAATTTCTCAGTTACAATGTGCACAGAGCAAGTGCTATTGTTTTAACACAAAGAGAACCAAATTCTTTTCTCTCTACACAAAAAATAAATCACATAGTACAGGTTTCCGCTGCTATCTGAAAAGAGAACATTCCTATGAGAACTTTCATAAGCTGAAATGCTGTAAAGAGAAAACACAATTGCCATTAATTTATATGGAAAAATGTCTGGGCACCCCTAGACCCAAAATTCAACACATGCACTGTCTTTATTTCATTCACCATGATGGAGATACTTAATTATGTCCAATTTTACATTAAGCATAATACCCTAGTTGCCAGTTGGGTTTTCAGTGTGCTGTGAGAACTGTGTTCGAATACAGACTTCTTGGTGATAAAAACTCCTTGTTGATATTGGTGAACTGAAGGACTGAACTGCTACTCTCAGGGCCGAAGACTGTGTGTACAGCACAAGATGAGTCCACTGTAAAAAACAGTTTAGTTCTCCTTTCGGTTTTGATGGCTATGGATTTTATTTATTGCTTCCACATAATTCAGTCCACTGGGACATGTTATAATGATCACCTGCTTATGACAAGGCATGGTCTGAGGCACTGAGAATTCAGGCAAATACAACACCAAGTCCTTGCCCTCCAGGAGTTTAATATTCTACCAGATGATACCGAAATGTACAAGGTCAGGTAGATAATATGTGACATCTAAAAAAATTAAACCAAATGAAGGAGTAGAAACTAACAAGGGGTATGTTCTAGTTAGGATGGCTGGGGAAGGTGTCTCTGAGGAGAGAACACTTCCAAAGAAATCTGAATGAAGCCAGGGGTTATCCTGGAAAGAGAGAGGGAACAGCAGTGCAGAGGGAACAGCAAATTCAAAGCCTCGAGATGGGAGTGGTTTGGCAGAAATTCTGGAGGCCTGGGTAGGAAAGGTGCAGGAAGCAAAGAGGAGAGTGGGAGGAAAGAGAAGGAGTCAGGAAAATAGCTGAGCCCCCTGGTGGCCTTGAGATCACGAGAAGGCCTTCGGACACTGGGAAGCCATTGAAAAGTTTTGAGCAGGTGAGTGACATGATCTGATTTATATTTTAAAATGACATATTTGGAATCTATGATGATCTAAATTTAAGAGTTTTTCTAAATCATACCTCTGGCTGCTGGGTGGAGATGCAGTAGGCTGGCTCTGAGGTGGCCCCCCGCTGACCCCACCTTCAGTGTCCCAGCCTTCCTCTGACTCCTCCCCTTGCACACAGGCTGTACCTATCGACTCACTGATAATGAACAGAATATTCCCAAAGTAATGGGATGTCGCGTCTGAGATTAGGCTATAAAAGTGCTATGGTTCCATCCTGAACATTCTCTCTTGCATTCTCTCTCTCCCTCCCTGTCTCTCTCTCTCTCCAGCCACTCACTAGGGGAAGCCAGCTACCATACCGTAAGCCACTTCAGGGAGAGGCCCGTACGATGTGACAAGGAACTGAGACCCATAATCCAAAGCCATGAGAAGCTGAAACCTGTGACAGTCACGTGAGTGATCTTGGAAGTGCACCCTTCTGCCCCAGTCAAACCTTGAGATAACCGACACCCTGACCAGCAGGTGAACCGCAATGTCACAAGAGACGCTGAGCCAGAGGCACCTAGTTCAGCTGCACTTGGCTTCCTGACCCACAGAAACTGTGTGATAATAGATGTTTGCTGCTTTTAGTCATTACATTTTGAAATAAGTTGCTACACAGCAATATATGATGAGTGCAGGGAAATAAGAGTAGAAGCAGAAAGATCGGTTAAAGGCCATTGCCATAGTGAGGAGACAATGACTTAGGGCAGGGCGGTGATGGTGGAGGTGGTCGGAAGTGGGCCTAGGAAGGGCAGAAAGGGGGATAAGGAGAGCACCATGCAACCTTTGACCTGGAAAAAGAAAGAAAACACTATGGCACTAGTTTCCACACTGTAAAGGATAACCATTGAGTCCCACAGCGGGACAGGATGTTCGCAGTGATAGAAGCAGAGAATAGCTCTAGAAAAATTTTGTCACTGGCTCCTATGGAGAGGTGTAAGCACAAGAAGTCTGAGCAAATGGCTTGACCCAGCCTTTTCTACATGTGTGTGGCAGAGATACAGAGCTGATTCAATGAGCTGAAAAAGTGAAAGCGACTAAATCTATGGAGCAAAAGACAATGGTGGCAAGAACACCTTTGTTTGGTTAAAATAATCAGAGAAACTCACCTGAATAAACATGTCAGTCCAAGTGGCTAGGATTAAAAATTTTTAAAAAGCCATATTCATAAGTGTTCCTATATCCAGGATAAGTCACCAGGTAACTGTAAATACAGGAACTTACCTGTGCTGTACACACCTATTACACAGTCAAGATATTGCTGGACACCCAAGCACTGGTCCTGGAGGCAGTTTAGCCTAGAGTTACATGGGTTTTGATGGGTCGGGGTAGGAAGTCTAGCTCCTCTATTGCTAACTGTGTGGCCTAAGCAAACTGATTTAAATTCCTCAAGTTTCGGTTTCCTTGACTGCAAAATAAGCCTGGTAAAAGGACTTGCTCTTGTGCCTTTAGTACAACACTGAGCAATAGGAAGGACTTGATAAGATAGCGTGTGTGTTTTCCTTAGCACAGTGCCTGGCATGTAGTAAATCCTCATTTACTGTGTGATGGGGACTGTCACCTGTCACTGCTGTTCTGACTTCCTGGAGAAACACATGACAAACCGAGGGAGGAGACAGTGCCCTTTATCTCAAAGCCAAGCTGCACTGCTGTGTCAGAGATTAAAACCAGAAAGGTACACCCCCCCCCCATACAGCTATTCTTCTAGGAAATGCTGAGATCAAAGGACGCCTTTACCCCATCAGCAGCGCCGCTGCTGCTCTCCTCTGCTCTCTTCTCACCCTTGATAAGGGAGCTTTTAAAATGCCTCACGATGAGTCCTGCTGCTGAGTTAAAGGAGGACCAAATAGCCACAGGGCATAGTCCTTGGAGAACTTCCTCCAAGCCGCTCCACTGCCTGCCCTGTCACCTTCTCTGCCTCCCTGGCATTCACTGTCTGCTTTGTGACCACGGATGAATGAGGAGACACCCACAGAATAAGCAAGTCAAGGTGTTCGTGGGCCACTGAAGGACAAAGGCCACCAAGGCACCCACAGCCACAGGCTAAGACGCGCAGACGGCACACCCCCATACCTTGTCACTAAGAACTAACGTATGGCACTGACAGGTAAGACAGACTCAGCAGCTGGCAGGTTCAGACACAAAAATCATCACAGCATAAGCTGCCAACATGACTCTGCTGGAAAGAATGGTCACTTTCATGAATGATAACAAAATCCAAGACCGCCATGAATTCACAGAACAGTGTTACTGACAAGCCAAACAAATGTATGCAGTTAGATAAAGACACATTATAGGTTATAATAAAAAACTCAATACTAATAATGTTTACAACAGAAGACAACAACTGGAAAGGACAAAGTGTTTGTTTTATGTATACATCTTATCTCAAAGTGCACTATTTAGTTGCAGATATCTAACTGAATCCAAGAAGACATCATCAGCTCGGCTTCCTGGTTTAAAATGAAAGGTTTTAGAAATCCACATATACTTGTAAACCTAAATGATTTTCAGTTAGGCTTATAATTAATTCATAACCTCCGGCTCACACCCACAAACAATTTAAATTTGTAAAGAGAAGTATCAAAATTTACACAATTTGTTAATTTTCTTAAAATTTTCCTCCACCCTGGATCTTTGCCAGCATTCTGTCATTTCTAATCTGTAGTGTCAGTGTGACAGTTAAAACAAACAAGAGCTAATGTTGTGGCAGGGGAAAGCAATCAGCACATCCATTCATTAGCTTCCTGCTCACACATTCACTGTCAATTATAAATATTTGCTTGGGCTAAATTCTGCCACCATCACTGGATCTATTACCGCCTATAACGAAGTGATATATTTGAAGAGTCAAGCTTCTGGCATTCTGCAGCTGCGACTCAAGAATAATCAAATGTTCATAAACTAACACTTGGGTCCCAGCAGAGTGTCTTGCTCAAGATAACAAATGATTATCCTAGACAATGGAATACAAGTCAAACCCTGATTCATGAGTTTCACAATTATGTTTCTGGACTACATCCATTAGTTTTTGTTGAAAGCCTTTTCACTTGCTATTTGGGGACATTTTTAGGGGGCATTCAAGTCCACAGTTGGCATTGTGCATTGGCAGATACTGCAGAATTCTTGGGGGAACTCTGGATTCTACTAAATGCAATCCATGAAAGTTGTTGGCACCCCTGACTATCAGCTGCTGTGAGTGATGGCTGCTAATGACTCACAGCTACCCCTTTCTCCAGAGAACTAACTGCCTTTGGTCAAACAGCAGCCATCTTGACCTGGAATCTTTGCCTTCTCATTCAGCCTCAGACTTTAGCCAATGACTTACTGACGGGAGTATGAAGGGCAGGTTGCTTCTCTCAGGGTAGAAGTGGTCAGCTCTGTGGTATGGTTCATGCTCCGGAGCTTCCCCCTTGGCCAGGCTGAAGCTAGCCTCTGTCAGATACCGCACACTTGCTTAGCTTTTCTCTTTTGACCTATTCTGGTTCTCTCACTCTCCTGAGCGAGTCTCTGAAAAAAAATCAATTGAACAACCTCCAGCCAATGTAAGATGCTAAGAATTTCTCTGCCCTGGATGGGACTGTGCTCCAGCCAAGGCCCACCATGACCACTAAGCCCCACCCCCTTGAACTGGTTACTCTTTCCCAAATACTTGAAACAGGTGAGTCTTTTCACTTGTGGTAATCCTGATGTCTTCCCTCAGACCGGGAAATACCATCCAAGGACCGTCATAGCCATCCCTAACGTCTAGCACAGTTCTGGCAGAATTCCTCATCTCAGTCTTGACCACAAAATCATTCTCAATCTTTCTTAGAAAGTAGTTAGAAAGAGATGGAAACCCAATAGAAAAATAGGCATAGGGTATGAATGAAAACAACCCATTGAAATGCAAATGGAGACATGGGATGAGAAGGGGTGCTCATTTTCACTCATAGTAAGTGAAATATAAATTAAAACTATGGTGAAATACTATTTTTCAACCATTGGGTAAATTTTAAAATATATATTTCTTTCCTATCCAGATATCCTGACCAGTGATAGTGGATTCTTTTTTCCCTTGTTACAAATAAATTGTTTGTCCAAGAAATTTTACCTTGGGACCCCACTGTTGCAAAATGAATCTGATAAAGCTCTACAAGACTCCTTAGGGCTGTGGGTGAAAAGAGAATACAAACCTTAATCTAAACATCCACTTCCTCAGGAATGTTACACATTCTATTGTGCTTCTTTTCCAAGTCTTAAAGAACATGCTGCTTTCCTCATTTCCTCTGTCCCACCCAGGCAAGAGTCCTTTTTATCACCATCTCTCACTTCCACCAGAAATCTTTTTCTCTTCAAGACCATAAAACATCTTGTTAGCATAAGGGGCACAACCTTCAATTTGTCATAATTTTCCTACTCATTTTACTACACAATAGGATTAAGTGGGGCGCACATTTTCCTCCATCATGCTGCGCCTGCAAGTTAAGTATACACATGTCTGTTCTATTCCCTCCTTTATTTTTTCAAATATTTGCTTCCTCTCTCTGTAGAAGGATTGTACTACTTTGCCCCAGTAATGTCACATTTGGTCTTATAACTTGTGCCTTTTGGTGACATGTGAGCAGAAGTGACAGAGGCCACTTCCTGTCAGAAGCTTTAAGACCCATTATGTGGTTCCACCATCTTGTTCCTTTCTCTTCTGCAAGACCACTGCCAGATTAGCACATCCCAGAAATGGTTTATTCCTTTAGATTGCGTCCTAGAATAAAGACAACATAGCGAAAAATTTCTCTCCCACTCTTTCTCCTTCCCTTCCCCTCTCTCAAAAAATAAATAAATAAAATATTAAAAAAAAAAAAAACAACATAGAGCTGAAACATGAAGAACATGAAACGTAAAACATAATATACCTTTGAGGCCTTAAGCACCTGAGATTTGGGAACCGTGTGTTACTGTATTATAAACTAGCCCAGCTGTCTGCTAGATCTCTGGGTTCCAATGCACCTAACTCTCCTTTGTAGCCCAACAGCATCTAGCATAATCCTTTGGCCATAGTACACATTCAATGAAAACTGCCTAAGTAGAATTTTCTCTTCCTCTTGTTTCCCTTCCCCTTCCTTTCTGAACAATTCAATCCACAATCCATTATGAGGGGCTAAGGAGATAAGTCGTTTGGTAAAGGTGTGAAGAGGAGCTTAAGAGCCCAGTGTCTGAGCCTGAGCCAGTGAGAAGACTTGATCAGATAGGTAAATAGTGTATTACGGATAATGGGAATCCAGTTTCTTGCTATCAGACAAGGGAATCATAAATATAGAAAGAGAAAATCACATTGAACCCTATTTTGTTGGAATGGAATTGGAATATTAATGGTTTTCAATATGTATAGAGAGATAAATAAATATAATTGTAAACATGTGTGTATACATAAATTAGGTAGCTCCGTCCCCTGAAAGGCCTGGGAGTAGCAACTCCCTCATTGGAAATGACCATACCTAGCACCCAAGCTTTGGTTTCCGAACACCACCTTCTACTGAAGGAATCAGGGGTACTTGGGAAAATAGCTGATTCCAGAGCTCTGACAGGAAAAGCAACGGACTAGCCTGGCACATCTTGTTCTGCCATAACGGAGGACCATACTCAAAAAAAGAAAAAAAGGCCCCTGTCAAAAGGAAACAGAAGCCAGTTTGTAGAGGCTCCCATGGGCTAAATCAAAATAAATACAGTAATGAATTAAAACCTATAAAGCACCATAGGAATTTAGCATATATAATTACATAAATATTTAGATAGAGAAATTGAAAGTGTGTTGAGAAACAAGATATTTATATAATCTCAAAGGACCACCCTCAAAGTACTTCTACATTATTAAGGAAAACATCATAAATTTACATTGGAGAAGCCTGGCAAACACCATGCTAATCAAGTGAGCAAAGCTGACATCGCCAGTAAGGGCACAGAGTGAAATGTGTGCACTGACAGACTGCAATGAGTCACACAGCACCCTGTCCATGGTGTCCACGCCAAGGAAACATAACCAGAACTTACCCATGACGAGGTGCAGACAACCCAAACTGAGGGATATTCTATAAAATGACTGGCCCATGATCTTCAAAATTCTCAGGGTCATGATAGTCAAGGGAAAACCTCAAAACTGTTCTGGATTAAAGGCAATTAAAGAGAAATGGCAACTCATGTGTCCAGGGAGTCAGAAGTTGGAGAGATGGAGCCACCAGTCTAAGAATACCAGCAACTCCTGGAAGCTAGAAGAGACAAGAAATGGGCACATTTACTTAGCCTTAGTGAAACCACTCTTGAATTTCTGGCCTCAGTAACTGTGAGAGGAGTTTTCTGTTGTTTTAAGTGGTTTATGGTAATTTGTTACAACAACCATTGGGAACTAATAGAGAATCACTCCCTAATACAACAGCAATAGCTGTTGTCCTATCTGGTCTCCTTTCCACCACAATGAATTGAAGTAAGAATGGGGATAGTCAACAGTTTCCACGTTATCATGCTGGAAGATCCAAGGGAAATCACAGATCTGATACACTGTTAATGTGGGTTCACCTTCAAAAAGAAGGCTAATAATGAAATATTTAATATATTTTAATAATTAATATTCCTGAAGAGGTCGATGTTCTTGTTAATAATTAAGAATTGTACTCTCCTTTCATCCATAGCTCAAAACAGTTTTATTCAGCTTTATGAAATTTATTTCTGAGTCATAGGATGTCTGTCACTGGATTTAACAATTCAGAGGCATCGCTTGATTTAAATATTCAGCTATAGCAGGGATATTAGTCAGGGTTCTCCAGAGAAAGAGAAGCAACAGAATGTGTATATATACAAAGAGAGAAATGTATTTTAAGAATCAGCTCACATGATTTGGGGGCTTGGCAAGTCCAAAATCTGCAGGGTAGTCTATCAGGCTGGAAACTCAGAAGGAATTGCAGTTTGGGTCTAAAAGCAGTCTGTGCATAGCATTCTTTCCTGCATGGGAAAGACATTTTTTTCTCTAGAAAGGTCTCATGATTGGATGGGATTCACCCATCCTATTGAGGGTAATTTCTTTAATTTAAAGTCCACTGATGTAAATGTTAATCTCACTAAAAATAGCATCACAGAAATATCTAGAATACTGTTTAACCCAATATCTAGGCCTAGACACACTGACATGGAAAATTAACTATCACACAGGGGAAAAAGAACCCACCGTCACTGGGCTGAACATGTGCATAGAATAAGAGCTCATCTTTTTGATTTAAGGTCATTCACTTTGGTTTCATTCAGTGATATGTATACTTTTAGCTATTTCTTTCTCTTTTTTTTTAAACCTAGTTTTTATTTTCAGAAGGAAAAGCAGGCCCGAGCATCTTCAAAGTTTAGGGCTCATTTCACCAAAGTGTTTAATGCATTTTTTAACTACCTCATTATCATATGGGCATATGGAAACATTTGTTATTAGCCATTCAGGGAACAAGAAAATGTAGGTCCATCTACTCTACAGGCCTGAATCAAGAAAGGCTATTCTTAGGACCAAAGCTCAATGCAGATAGAGAACAGATCTAAGGCATGAGGATGTTTTGACTAAAAGTTTTCTACTTGATTTAATTAGCACAGCCTAATTCATTCACTACAGAAAAGAAAGACCAGAGTGCACCTGTGGCAGAAATATCCACCACAAACTAATTCTGTTTCAGAAGATGATGCAATGCTACTTCTTCTGCCAGGGACAGAAATGACACATCTTGGATACAACTTCTGCTCACGGAGCCATGAGCAGAAAAATGGAAATTCTTGATGGGACTGAGAAATGCCTTTGCCCTCAGGCTCCCTAGTTCTCTGGTTTCTCAGAAATGTCAACTGGGAAAGGATATGTATTTCACATAAGAGAACCAGGGGGATAGTAAACTGAGCCAGCCAATAACCATAATAATGATGAATTAAATATCTGTTTTGCACCAGATGCTGTCCTGGATACCAGGCACACAGGATGACAGAACATGGCCCCGCTCTTCTGTCCACTGGGAGTGACAAATAACCCAGTCACTGTGATACATGAGTAAGAGAGCTGCATACAAAGGCAGGAGTGACTAATTCTATCAGAGGGTCTAGGGGGGGTTCACAGAGGAGGTGACCTTTGACCTTTACCTTGGAAGATACTTGAGTCCGGCACAAGGAGTAACAGGAGACAGAGGACTACAGAAACTTGGAGTTTATTTTTTATTTACTTATTGGTTTTATTATTGATTATTAATGTACTGAATATCCACTTGCAATATATGGAATGTACAAAAAACTGGAAATAAATTTTAAAAAGACTCAAAAAAGACCCATAAGTCCAAAATCTAGAGGTAAGCTACAATAGTAATTATTTTGCCATGATTCAGTGTTTTCTTTTTCTATGCTTTGTAATATAATATTGTGTTTATACTACATTTAAAACTCTGCACATTGTTTATTCTCAGAACATCCTATCATTAAAAAAACAATATTTGATAGCTTCTTAAAATCTCACCAGGTTTATCATAGTATTTGCAAGCATTAATATATTGAGGATTTTTCTGCTCCAAATTTTTATTCATATAAAGGATGTCATTGTGTGTACATTTTTGTTGTATTTTAAAAGTGGAAATCCTGAACCTCATTAACACTCTTGATAACTATCCATATTGCTTTCTAGAAATGTTGCAACAATTTAAATTATTGCCAGCAAAGTACAAAAAGTACCTCTCTTACTAAATTCCTACCAACATTACAAAGAATTTTTAAAAAAATGATTTTAGCATACATTCAGTAAAATGCACTAATCACAAACATATAGCTTACTGGAATCATTTTCAAATTTTTAAATATTTAATAATTTAATGGGAATTTTTTATTTCTTTTATATCTAGAAAAGTTAAATTTTTTAATATATATATTATACTCTTGAACTTGTTTTTTTTAATGGCACTTTAAAATTTTTGTTCAAGTATAGTTGTCTTCATTTTCCCCCATCAAACCCATCTCCACCTCTCACCCTCGATCCTAGCCCCCTTGGTCTTTGTCCATGTGTCTTTTATACATGTTCCTCGATGGTCCCTCACCTTTTTCCTATTGCTATCCCCACCCTCCTCCCCTCTGGTTACTGTCAGTTTGTTCTCTATTTTAATGTGTCTGGTTATGTTTTGTTTGCTTGTTTGTTTTGTTGATTAGGTTTCACTTACAGGTGAGATCATTTAGTATTTGTCTTTCACTGCCTGGCTTACTTCACTTAACATAACGCTTTCCAGTTCCATACGTGCTGTCATGAGGGGTAGCAGCTCCTTCTTTCCTTCTGCTGTGTAGTATTCCATTGTGTAAATGTACTATAGTTTTCTAAAATATTTTATTTATTTATTTTAGAGGGAGGGAAAGGATGGGAAAAGAGGGGGAAAGAAACATCAGTGTATGGTTGCCTCTCATGCACCCCCAACTGGGGACCTGGCCTGCAACCAAGGCATGTGCCCTGACTGGGAATCAAATCAGTGATTCTTTGGTTCCCAGGCCAGCACTCAATCCACTGAACCACACCAGCCGGGGCTGTTTTTCAATCCACTCATTCACTGATGGGGCCTGAAATTGTGTCCAACACTCGGCTATTATAAATTGTGCTGCTATGAACATTGGAGTTCATAGGTTCTTTTGAATTGGTGTTTCAAGATTCTTAGGGTATAATTCCAGCAGTGGAATTGCTAGGTCAAAAGGGACATCTATTTTCAGTTTTCTGAGAAAATTCCATACTGTTTTTCCTAGTGGTTGTACCAGTCTGCAATCCCACCAACAATGCACTAGGGTCCCCTTTTCTCCACAACCCTTCCAACACTTGTTTGTTGCTTTGTTTGATAGCCAACACTTATTTGATGGCCATTCTGACTGGTGTGAAGTGGTATCTCATTATGGTTTTAATTTGCATCTCTCTGATAGCTAGCAGTACTAAGCATCTTTTCATGTGTCTCTGGATCCTTTGCATGTCTTCCTTGATGAAATGTCTATTCAAGTTCTTTGTCCATTTTTCAGTTGGGTTTCTTATCTTCTTAGAGTACAGTCATGTAAGTTCTTTATATATTTTGGTGATTAAACCCTTGTCTGAAGTATCATTTGCAAATATGTGTTCCCATATGATCGGTTCTCTTTTTATTTTAATATCGTTTTTCTTTAACTGTGCACAAGCTTTTTATTTTGATGAGATCCCATTTGCTTATTTTTTTCTTTATGTCCCTTGCTCTAGGGGACACATTGGTGAAAATATTGCTTTGTGGAACATCTGAGATTTTTCTGCCTATGTTCTCCTCTAGAACTTTTATACTGTTGTGATTTATATTTAATTATTTTATCCACCTTGAATTTATTTTTATGTATGGTGTAAGTTAGAGGTCAAGTTTCATTTTTTTGCATGTAGCTGTCCAGATCTCCCAATACTATTTGTTAAAGAGGCTATTTTTACTCCATTTTATGCTTCTGCCCCCTTTGTTAAATATTAATTGACCATAGAGGCTTGGGTTTATTTCTGGGCTCTCTAGTCTGTTCCATTGGTCTATGTCTCTGTTCTTATGCCAGTACCAAACTGTTTTGATTACAGTGGCCTTGTAATATAGTTTGATGCCAGGTATTGTGATCCCTTCTACTTTGTTCTTCTTTCTCAAAGTTACAGCTGCTGATCAGGGTTGTTTATGGTTCCAAATAAATTTTTGAAGTGTTTTTTCAATGTCTATGAAGTATGTCATTGGTACTTTAATAGGTATTGCATTGAATCTGTAAATTGCTTTGGGTAGTATGGACATTTTGATGGTGTTAATTCTTCCAATCCATGAACATGGTATATGTTTCCATTTGTTTGTATCTTCCTTGATTTCTTTCTTCAGTGTTGTGTAGTTTTCCGAATACAGGTCTTTTACCTCCTAGGTTAGGTTTATTCCTAGGTAGTTTATTTTTATTTTTACTATAGAAAATGGGATTTTTTTCTAATTTCTGTTTCTGTTATTTCATGGTTGGTATTGGTATACAAAAATGCCGTTGATTTCTGAGTATTGACTTTGAGTATTGAGTATCTGGATGTTTTGCCAAATTCACTTATTAGTTCGAGTAGTTTTTTGGTGGAGTCTATAGAATTTTCTATGTACACTATGATGTCATCTATAAACAATGACAGTTTTGCTTCCTCCTTTCCAATTTGGATGCCTTTTATTTACTTTTTTTTTTTGTCTAATTGCTGTGGCTAGGACTTCCAATACTATGTTGAATAGAAATGGTGAAAGCAGACAGCTTTGTCTTATTCCTTATATTAGTGGACAGCTTTTAGTTTTTGCCCATTTAGTATGATGTTGGCTGTAGGTCTCTTGTATATGGCCTTTATTATATTGAGGAATGCTCTCTCTACTTACACTTTGCTGAGTGTTTTTATTATAAATGGGTGTAATACCTTATCAACTGCCTTTTATGCATTTATTGATATGGTCATGTGGTTTTTGTCTTTCCTTTTGTTTATGTGATGTATTACATTTATTGATTTGTAAATATTGTACCATCCTTGCATCCCTGGGATGAACCCCACTTGATCATGGTGTATGATCTTTCAAATGCATTGCTGGATGCAGTCTGCCATTTCATCCAGGTTTAGGCCTTTTCCCCCCTCTGCCCAGTACACCCATTCCTTCCAGCAATTCCCCCCACCCTTAGTTCATGTCCATAGATCATGCATACAAGTTCTTTAACTATTCTGTTACCTATAACTTTTCTTAACATCCCCCTGTCTATTTTTTACCAACAATTTGTGCTTCTTAATCCCCACATCTTCCCCCCTCCCCATTTCCCCTTCCCCCTCCCAACTGATAACTCTCCAAATGATCTCCATATCTATGATTCTGTTCCTGCTATGCTTGTTTGTTTAGTTTTTTACTCAATTATTGATAGTTGTGAACTTATTACCATTTCAATTATCACTGTTTTGATCTTCTTTTTTAATATAATTCTCTTTAGCATTTCATATAATAATGGCTTGGTGATGATGAACTCCTTTAGTTTTATCTTGTCTTGGAATCACTGAAGGAGTCTCTTGAGAATCCCACAGTTTCTTCTGCTGCCCCAGCCCCCACGGGTTTTTACAGCCAGAAGTTATGAGAACTTATCTACCTGGTGCTGAAATCCTGGACTGAGTGGTCTGGTCTGGGGTTGGGTTCCCTCACTCCCAAGGTATCACATCCAATTTTTATCAACCACATGTGGGCGTAGGACTGCCCGTCCCTGACTCCACACCTCTCTGGGCCACTCCATCTCTCCTGCCTCTCCACACGTCCACACATTTCTGCCCCTTCTACCCATCTGGATGAATGTGGCTTCTTTAAATCCTTGGTTGTTGGACTAAGCTCAATTTTCTGAAAATTCAGACTATTTATTTTGTAGTCTAGTTTTACTTTTAGCTATAGTTGTATATAGAGGCAAGGCATATTTACCTACACTTCTGTGTTAACCAGAAGTGACCTTTTCCCATATTCTTTGAGATGTTTTTGTCAGTCAAAGCTTTTACTGTTCGTGTGGCCAATTTTCTCAACTTTTTTCTTTGTAACATACTTTAGGTATAATTCAAAATATTTTTTTAGATTTCTCTGAAAATTCTTAATTTGTGTGTCATTTAGAAATGTGTTGTGTCTCTTTCAAATATTTGGGGGGTTATCTAGGTATCTTTCTCCTATTGATCTCTAGTTTAATTTTATTGTGGTCAGGGGTCATTCTTTGTATGAGTTCTTTTTTAAATATATTTTATTGATTATGCCATCACGCAGTTGTCCCATTTCCCCCTTTCAGTCCCCTCTACCCTGTACATCCCCTCCCACCCACATTCCCCCCTTTAGTTCGTGTCATAAGTTCTTCAGCTTCTACATTTCCCACACTACTCTTGCCCTCCCCCTATTTTCTACCCACCAACTATGCTACTTATTCTCTCCACCTTCTTCCCCTTCTCCTCCTCCCACTCCCCTCTTGATAAACCTCCACGTGATCTCCATTTCTGTGGCTTCACTCCTGATCTAGCTGTCCACTTAGTTTGCTTTTGTTTTAGGTGTGGTTGTTAATAACTGTGACTTTGCTGTCCTTTCACTGTT